TGATGGCTTTTGTGATATTAGCGAGGCCCATTCGACGATGTGGACTATGGCGCTATGATACAAGAGAAAAAGTTCACTCCAATCAAATTAACAACATCATCTATTGACTACATTAAAGTGACCTTCAAGAGGATCTTGCCCTCATTTTGCTTACCACTGGAGCGAAAATTTTACCATCGATAAGGTCATCGGTAGGGTATCTGTGAGAAATGCAAGGAAAAATTCATGTCAAGATAGTTTGCTGTCGTGTCACGGTTATTGTATCTCGAATATTTATCTTTAATCTATCTTTATCGGCCTGTACTGTGCGAAAACTCATGTACCTTTCTTTAAGTGTCCGCATGGCTGTCTTGAGGAGGTTAAACTCATTGAAAAGCTCATCTGTCTCTAGATAATCCATCAATTCCTGTATGAAAGGAAATCGTTATAATTATGAAAAGGAATCCTAAAGCTGAAGGGTTGGTTATAATTATTCATATTAATTCCTTTTCTCCTTCCCTCAGCCCGGACAAAGGGCGAACGCGAAGCGCGAGTCTCGCGCAAGAGTGAACGAGTGTGAAACTTGTGGGAAAAAAAAAAGCATTCTCTACAGGCGAGTTTTCCCTCGGCTTTCCCAATCGGAGAAATGTTTATCACAGGTTCTCCTTTGTTCGAAGTCTAGTCCAAGTGATACACTGAACTGACGATAGTGAAGTGTTAGTGCTATCTACTTCACTGAATATGTGCGCCTGTTGAGATTTATTGAAATAAATCCTCTCAACACGTTATGTAAAAGTCACATTAGTATTTAAGGTATTCTTACCTCAATGAACCTGAAAATACATTGGTTTTCCAAGAATAGATTCCCAGCCAAGTAGCACCAGCGGAGCGTCATCTGAACAACCCTGCAAAACAAGAACTACTCAACCGCGGCTTGTAATTGGCTTTATGAAGTTGCCTTTGAAAAGTTTAAAACCTTGTTTTCTCACATGGAAGCCAGATATTCATAAAACGTGAAGTGAAGTTATATTTCCACTCCTCAGGGGAGGGTTGGAGTTCATTGAAAGTATCTCACCCCCCCCTTTTTTTTTTATCTCTTTGCACCTCCAAGGTTTGGGAGGTGATTTTCATGCATCGTGTTCCAAATATGCCGGCCATGATTCCAGGGCATAGCTGCAGTCCGGAGTCCAGCATTAACCGTCAGTCCAACGCTTATTATTTCCACGAGGAAACACACAGAGACATATAAATTAACCAATTTTTTACTCTCACAAATCACATGAAAAGCCTACCTTCTCTTGATGGCCATTTTGTGCTCAGCAGTGATATTTCTGGTCTCGTCTTGTCCGATTATAAAACAGTTGGTTCTGTTGTAGGTAAGAATGATTAAGGACTGTAACATTTTGAAATGAGATTTAAACGAACTACGACGGCAACGGCAACGAGGACGTGGCAAAACAAATGCTTTGATAGGAAGAACATTAGCTCAGCACGTGCGTTTTAAACCTTTGTACATTTCATAGCCATCCACCGCTAAACAACAACGTGAAATCACCAAAATTAGCATGGAACGGAAAGAGACGTTAAACACATCCACCCATTCGCGAAATTTTAAATAATAATACATCTTCATTTTTCAATCGACGCCTTCCTCGGCGTTGTCGTCCTAGCTGTTTATAATGTCCCTAATATTATCACTTTTCTTTGTTGAGTTCAAACGTCGCGCTAATGTTCCGGACCAAACTTAATTCGACAGAAATGCTAAGAAGTTTGAAACCATTCAGTTTGGTGGCCCCAGGACTTAGTTTTAAACGGGTTTCTCTTGTGTGGCGGACTGCATTCAGGAATTGTCTTAATGTATTCAAAACTTGAAGTATGGTTGTATCTGAGAGCAATTGGAATTTGGCGCAACTGAATTAGATTCAACGATTGAAACCACTGTGGTGGCATAACCTTATCGCTGCCGAGTTATTGAGTTATATGTCTGTACCTCAGTCGACGTTTCAAATACCGTGACAACAGTCTTTCCAATAAAAAGGATATTTGGACAGCAACTCGCGGCATAATGCCTCCGTGGTCATAAATATTGGGAAAGCGATCAGAAAGTCGTTCAAAAAATGATCTGAAAAATAACAACAACAGCAACAACAACAAAAGAATGCCTTTAGTAATAGCAATCTAACGTGTGAAATAAAAATGGAATTCAGTGAACGCATTTTTTCATTTACCGTCGAAGTTATTTGTATTGGAGTTGTCCATTCTTGTTTCTAAGAGATATTCCACCATTTTCTCTGGAGTACCAGCCATCACGGAATATCTACAAATTTAATTGTAGAATACTTTATCTAGACCGAGAGTCTCAATGGGGTTAACCGTCAACCGTAAAATGGCCAAAAAAATTAACCGTTAAGCGAAAAAAATTATAAATTTTAATCGCAAACCGTGAAAAAGTTAACCATAAAAATATTTACTGGTGATAACAATGAAATGATGTCAACCATTCATCGTAAAATGGCCAAAATTTTAACCTTTAGCCGTAAAAGTCACATCCCATTCAGGCCCTCTTGATTGCGTAGTCTGATCGCGCGAATGAAGGTAGTCTCGTGAGGGAGAGTCGGAGGAGAGGTTTGCAGGGGTCTGGCACTACTAATCAACGCTGGACTCTTACCCGACCTCTCGCCGAGTTGCTCATCTACCTAGGGTCACAGAAAAGCCATTTCCGAGCTCGGTTATCAAAAAATCCCGTCAGTTTCAATATTAATGGGGCTGAAAAGCACACGGGTAGCCAACCGAGTGTGGGCGCTTTCCGGCGTTGACAAGCAGATATATTTTACTGATAAATTGGCACAACACTTTTTCTATTACTATAGATTATAGGGTTGTTATGAGTCTTTAAAAGCACTCCGACATCTTTGTCGTAAAATTAGCCCCTCATAGATTTCTCCTTACTTTTGAATCTGCGGAATGTGAGTTTGGCTGTTATCTTCTCCAAACATGTTAGGTATGTTAATCTTTTCCAAGACAAGGACATCTTTTCTGTGTTCTTTTAGACGAACAGTATTTGTTTCCACGTCCTTGGAAAAAAAAAAAAAAAA